AAAACGGCGACGTCATAGTATTGAAATAATTAAAAGACAATGGTTAGTAGAAGCTCAATCAAAACAATGTTCGGATGAGTCTGGTGAAGAAGAACACTTAGAAGTCCATCACGACGATGGCCTGGAATCGATCGACTTTTCAACAGAATCCGTCTTAGATGCTATTAGAGACATTTTCTCTTTCTGCAAAGGATTAAGTATAGGAACTTGTTATACTATATTTTATTTTCATTGACATTGTTGAAAAAGTTAACATAAATGTGACTGATGTAATTTTCCTCTGACTATTGTCTCAATTTTGTCATTGGGATACTCTTTGTTAAATAATTACTCATAACAATGATTTACCGCGAGTGAGTTTATTAATTTTATCAGAAACATAAGTCTATAAAGCAGAAAAATCATCGTGGTAAAAACTATGATCTGGTAATAACAAAGTTTTATTATACGAAGACACACAAGGAAGTATAAATCAAAACAAATCAGGGAGTCTCCACAATTCTACAAAAGTACGTTTCTATTTTCACGTCCTTGAAACCAATGACTTGATCCATTAGTAGTTTGGTGTGTGTCGCGAACAATGAATGTCGTCAATATGAGAAAGTTGACATATGGCATATTGTTTTTGTATATGTCATTCTTAAAAGGCATCAAATATGTTTTTTTTTCTATTTAGCTCGATTTCATTTTGATTCTCCTATTATAGTGAATATTTCTCACAGTGCTTATTATTAACAGGAACCAAATTTTGCTTTCGAATGATGTCAATGAATTATCTTAATGTATTTTTCTTGTTTATATGGATGTAAGTATCTATGCGACACGGCCAACTAACTATGTTACCTCAATAAAAATTCGTAACGAAATTGTGCCATTTCGCTGTTCTGAAAGTTTTTAAACGAAAATATGTGTAGTGCTAGAGTGATAATAGAGGTTGCCCCTTTTTTTGAATAACTGATGAGCCGAAAGTTTTGAGACAAAATGTTTACTCATTTTTCGCCCATGTGAAAGTATTTCAGAAGAGTCGAAAACTATGGATAAGAACGAGAATTCGATGCTCTTTTCAAGAATGAGTTAAGAAATGATCTGTCAGATTTTGTTGGAGAAGTATAAGGAAATCTTTGAGAAGCTTGAAAAAAATAGTTTGGACGGAAAAGTTTTCTGTAAATTTTCCCATTTTTATTATTTGAGTCCGAAATCTAAAGTTGCAATCTTCATTAATAGATCAGCTTGTAGAGCAAAATCTGCTCTACAAAATATACTATTGTAGTTTCTATTTGTCTTTCGATAAGGCAGCAAGATTTTTGTTTTCCTGTCATTCTCAGTTTTGAAAAAAGCGAATTTTTGATCAAACCACGTTTTATGCAGAAGCAGTGTGTAAAAAAATGCTTATGATTTCACTTGTGTAAAACGGTACATTTTAGTTCGACATCACGTTTTGCACAGAATCGTCCGCTCTACAAAACTAACGGGTGCCACATAATGAATGTCCGCACTTTGGATTTCACATTTTAATCTCTAAATATGTTTTATTAAAAAGAAAATATATCACAAGATGCAGCGTGAAAAACTTTACAATCCACCAAGTAAAGCGTATTTTAATTATATACTTTTTGTTTTCAAAAAGAGCAAAACTCTCTACAATCAGTATTCGCAAGGGCAAAAATTGATCGCACGAAATTTTGCTTTTTCTAAAAACAAAAAGTATATAATTAAAATAAGCTCTACTTTGTAGATTGTAGAGCTTTCCACGCTGCATCTTGCGGTATATTTTGTTTTTTTAATAAAATGTATTTAGAGATTAAAATATGAAATGCAAAGTGCGGCCATTTATTATGGGGCACCCGATACTAAATCTATATCCTAATGGATGTATCATCCTACCTATAACCTGATGAGTATACTGCCATATCGATACCTTGATGAGTACACTACTCTACTTATACCATTATGGATATACTATTAAACTCGGTCTGATCTTGTGCTCGGAATCCAACAACAAGGTTTCGGCGGTTATCCGCCCGGATCAAGTTGGAATTATGTGTATCGGATAGGATCTGTCTGTCGAATCTCATCGTTTCCGGCAACATACGTTAGATCGAAATTCACTGAATCCGGTAAGCGGATATCAACGGAAAATAGTGTAAGTCATCGGAGTACGTCGGAAAGTGTCTGGCCGGATCCGACCATCGTATGCAGCCGGATTTCACATCCGTACGACAGAATCCGATCGAGTGAGTTTCATCTGGGATATATGGCTAAAATAACTAGACCAACCCAATCTGGATCAGTGTTGTAAATTGTTTTTATGGGGCTCTTTCACGCATTTAACATTGTCAATTTTTAGAGAACGTTTCGGTAATTTAGTGCTAGGGAACTAAATGTGACGATGAAGAAGAAGAGGCGGAGTAGTTCGTTTATTTGTTATTGCTGGTGATATTGGCGATTCAATTGACGTGTGCGACTTGTTTGTCTAAAGTTCTTTTCTGTGCTCAGGATAACATATCTTGAGATTGTGGCTATCCAGTAGATTATTGTTTGTTGCAGAGATTGCCAGAGTAGATAAAAATCCCGGGAGTATGATGAAAATTCTGGGAGTACGAGAGACATTTATGAAGCGTTCTGTAAGAATTAATCAGATACAACAAAGATATGAATCTATCTCATATAAAACAAAATATACTTTCATTCGTGTTGTTAGCGTTGGTGATGATACATGCCAACTCTAAGGAAGATTAATATGTCTCTTTTAGCCTAATTGACGTAGAACATCTGTTAGGATAGCAAAAGGTGTGTGGTTCGAGTTCCACGAAGGGCATCTTTTTCTCCTTTTTGTCTTTTATATATGTTGGCCCCATATGACTCATATATGTTGCTATCACGAGTAGTGCTTTGAAACTCAGTTCGGTAATGGAAGCATAATGAAATATGGAACGCATTTACAAAATACATCTCAAACTTGGATGTAAAGGTATTGTCGCATTATGTACCATGTTTCAGAATGCTTTCTTTACCGAACTGAGTGTCAAAGCACTACACGAACGAAAGTATTTTTGTTTTGTATGAGATAGATTCGTATTTTTGTTGTATCTGATTAATTTTTACAGAACGCCCTAGAAATGTTAATTGTACTCCCAGGATTTTCAGTGTACTCCCAAGGACTCGGAGTCTCGGGAGTCCACCGTTTCCCCTGTTATCGTTGGGACTCGATGCGATTTCTGCCTTTTCCTAGCAAACATTTTAATGCAACCCAATAGATAGTCTTTGTCACCATCACTCCAATCGCTCCGTGTTTTTGTATCTTTGACTGCATTTACGAGCTTTAATGTACTTTGATTTTGCTGATTGTCCAAGTTGATTTTGAGGACGTTGGAGGTTTTTGACAATCGTCTTCCGATTATTTTCTTCTGGTTTAATAGCAACTTTTTTGTCTATTTTGAGAAAACAATGCGTGCGCGCCTGAAAAAATTTAAAAGCGATTATGAGCACTACATATATAAGCAATCAAATGTGTGCTGTTTAACAAAGAGGAAGAGATATTTTTATACTACAAGAAAGTGAACGCATCGAAGGTAGAAGAGCAGTCGGCTATATAGAGAAGGCTGCGAATGTGAATGAAAAGAGAGAGATGCTCTAAAAGTCGTGCTGAGTTGGAAGAATCAAACTTCATCATAGTGGGAAAGTAACAAATAATTCAATACTGTTTTTATTTTGTTTTAGCGTCTTTAATGGAGTTGAATCAGGTATGTGTACTGGTTTTACGTAGGGGTGCACCAAATCCAAATCCAGTCAAACCCAAATCCAAATCTAGTCAAACCCAATCAAATGCAAACAAAGAATTGGATTTGGGTTTGACTGGATTTGCATTTGGTGCATTCCTAGTTTCGCGTAGTCCCGAAACAATAAGATAACTAGGATTGATTGACATTTGGGCCAATCTTCATCAATTCCGAAACAGCATTTTTTAAAACATTTAGTTGGAGAAATCACAAAGCTTAAAATATCATGGGCGAACGCTCAAATCCCATTAGGCTGTGGCCCAATGGCGGACCACCCGCCCCCTAGTTTCACCATTTTCACAAAAGTGGTGTCTCTCCGTCACATTTCCTCTTGCGGCAATTTTATCACAATGTGATCCATTCAAACGGATAACTTACGTATCAAACACCGATCGCAAATGTTTTGCATCCAAAGCAATGAGGAGTATTTCATTTGGTATCATCTATCAGGAATGGAGGATTTTTGGAGGAAAATTTAGTTTTTGGCCTGTATGGATTAGACGTCAGTAGGGAAAGATCTTTTCTGGTTCACATTGATACTCAAAAAAGAATCTTCGTAGCTCCATCTGGGTCGAAATATCAAGTTTTTTTCGGAAACTTCGCTGGAAAATCTTTGCAGATCCTGTAAAAAACGTTGACGTGTAAAGAACTTCAACGTCAAAAGCATTCACGTTAAAGTTTGTTCTTCTACTGTATTTTTGTGCAAACACTAATGTAAAAGTGAGAAAAGCCAAGTAATGGAGCCAATGTTTTTTTTGGTTCATAACTCTAACGATATAGCTCAATTTATATCAAAGCACTGAAACCTATCCAAACAGACAAAATAATACCATATTCGACCCATTTTTCGTTGCTGATTACTAATCCGAAAAAAACAAGCATTGAGACGATAGTTTTTGGTTGAAGATATTTGTCAGTGGTTCATTATGAAACGATCTGCTTATCGTCCAAGTCACCAAGAGCAACGATATGTACTTCTTTCACAACTCTTTAAATGAAAGTAGAATAAATCTTTATTTCAAAGATTGTACTATATCACGGACCCCGAAATCTAAGTTATGCTCCCGTTAGCCCTACATGCTGAAACATTCTCTAGTGAACGAAGCTTTCAATAACTTGAAACAACTTTGAATCGAGATTGGTTTGTGAATCATTATTGTTAGAATATCAATTTCTGCTGTAATGTTTTTATCTTAAGGCCAATTGAATACTCGTACAAGGATGGCAACAGCACGTCATGTTCATGCTGCAACCCTGTTTAATTCAAGCAAAGTTCTTGCCACTGCTGGCTACGGATATACAGGTTATCTGGCTAGTTCTGAAATATATGATTCATCAACAGACCAATGGAACCCTACTGCAAGCATGGCAAGAGCACGTACTGCTCATACTGGAACTCTTCTTCAATCGGGGAAAGTTCTTGTCACTGGTGGTGTAGCAAATACCGGCTATATGGCTAGTTGTGAAATATATGATCCATTAACGGGCCAATGGAACACTGCTGCAAGCATGGCAATACCACGTATTTCTCATACTGCAACCCTGCTCAATTCTGGCCAAGTTCTTGTTACTGGTGGTATCACATTTGGGGCACCTGCTCTGAATAATTCTGAAATATATGATCCATCAACGGACAAATGGAACCCTACTTCAAGTATGGCAACAGCACGTACTTCTCATACTGCAACCCTGCTCAAATCGGGCAAAGTACTTGTTGCTGGTGGTGCGGCTAGTTCTGAAGTATATGATCCATCAACGGGCCAGTGGAATCCTCTTACAAGCATGGCAACAGCGCGTTATTATCATGCTGCAGCCCTGCTCAGATCGGGCAAAGTTCTCGTCACTGGTGGTGACGTCGGATCAGTTAACTATCTGGCTAGTTCTGAATTATATGATCCATCAACAGGTCAATGGGACACTATCAAAAACATGGCAACAGCACGTAAACTTCATACTGCAATTTTGCTTCGTTCGGGCAAAGTTCTTGTCACTGGTGGCGTAGGATCTTCCGATTTTTTGGCTAGCTGTGAAATATATGATCCATCAACAGGCCAATGGAACAACATTACTAGCATGACAGCAGGGCGTGCTGCTCATACTACAACTCTGCTCAATCCAGGCAAAGTTCTTGCCATTGCTGGCGATGGAGGTACCGGTATCCTGAATAGTTCTGAAATATATGATCCATCAACAAGCAAATGGAACCCTGCTGCAAGCCTGGCAACAACACGTACTTATCATACTGCAACCCTGCTTAATTCCGGCAAAGTACTTGTCACTGGTGGCGAAAAGTTAGGCAGTCATATGACTATTATCCATCCAAAAAAAAGAATAGTCCATACTCATTCTTAAAATAAACCAACAATAAAAATAGCTAGAGAGGTGGCGTTTTCGGATATCGAAACAGGAGTTTATGGCGCATTTTTTACGAACGAAGAGATTTTTGAAAACGTTTTTCGAAGCCGATTTTTGAGGAGATCTCTAGAGAACTCGTGTATAACGGGAAAATTTTAAATACTAAACTATTGATTTTTTAAATTAGTACTTAGACGAAAGTGCTTTCTTCAAAATAGGATCTAAGGAATTACCTGAAAATCTATGATTTATCCGGGAAAACTATTTTTCCTTTTCAGTCCACGACCAATCGCCTTCCTCTGTTGAAATGTTGAAAACCTGTTCGATTTTTATACACTTTTCCAGATTAATGTGTCACTCAAAACACCATTAAAACGAATTGTTCATTAAAAATGAGTATTTGTCAAGGAAAACTCTAGTCTACTTAGTTTTCAAAAAAAAACTGTTTGAACTTTTCGATAAGACTGTCAGTTATGGATATTTTGTTGCATTAATAAGGTCAGCAAGAAATTCGCGTGCGCATACTTCAAAATAAAACTGTACATGCGCGCATTTAAATTTTCTTGCGGGCGAACGTGAAGATGGAGGTCTAAAAACGCATGTATCTGTATAGGAGTAATACAGAAAGAGAGAGAAATGACAATCGAATGTATCGATTATGAGAGAAGAGAATAATCACACATATAGAGAGTGGTCAAATATGAACATAGTGATGACAAGGTTGATAAAGAGAAAGGGATGAGGATAAAGATATTACATTTCATTAAAATGAGACCAAGTCCTGGTCAGCCTATACTAGTTTTTATGTGTCTTATCGTTTTTATTTTTGCACAAATATAAGCCTATCAGCTTGTTCTATTCATTTTTCGAATAAAAGATGCAATAACAGAACTATTCTAAACTATTAAGAGTAAGTCTTTGAGAAAACCAGTCACTCTCAGACACCGACGATAGAGACACATCTCAGAATCCACTGACTTTTTAATATGTTATAGGTAGTAGTGAGGTTAGTATTATCTGAAATTTTCAACCCGATCGGATCACTTTTTCATATGCAAAAAGTCAAAACCCGAGTAGAATTTTCGATGTTTACTGATACCAATGTTTTTCGATTTTTCAGCGATTTTGTGGAACTCACATATATTTTCGAAGAAAATAGTGAGTGTAAGTTTTAAGTTCGAGATTTCGCGGCTCCCTCCACGTCCCCTCTCCTTACAAACAGGCCCCTCTTACAGACCATAGCAACGAAAAAGAACATTACATATAGCTCCCCTTACAGACCCCCCCCCCCCCCCCTTGATTTATCGAACAATAAAAAGTCATCAGCACTTTGCGTTACCAAAAAGTGAAAAGAGAAAAGTTATCTGAAAAAGTGATATTTTAAATTGAGATTTCTTGGAAGCCATTTTTAGTTGAATGATTATAATTTTTCATTAAAACTTATTCGAAAAATATTTTTAATCGTTTTGTATTTTGTTGTCGAAACAGCATCTATATTATTTTCGTTTCCCAATCGAATGTGGAAATGTAGGATGGCAAACGACATTTTGACATATATCTGATAAGAAAAAAAGCGATGGTCCATGCAGTGAAGAGTGTTTAATCTTAATTCAACGAAAAATATTCTTCACAGAATATAAATTTCGATAGAAGAAAATTCAGTGAAAATATATTATGATTGGAATCCTCACATGAAACTATCCGATTGTGTAGAATCTTCAATAGTCATGTGTTTCATATTTGATAGAAATAGAAAAAACAATAAATTAATCGTTCGATTAATGAAGAATAGGAAAATAGTTCGTTGTATAATTTATTCATGTGATCAATATGATTAAAATTTGTAATACGTACATTAGTAGCATGTACCACAACAACAATAGGGTCTTCCGCACGATATTGCACAGCAGTTATTTGGACAATGAAGACACTTTTTGCAGGTTATATCTTGACATATTCTTAGACCTTTGTAACATTCAAATTTAACGTTGATAGATATGCATGGTGATTTGACACAGTGAGAAGGAAATGATACTGTATTTTTGTTGGAATCTGACTCCATTCAAGACATTTCGTTGTCTTTTGAATAAACATTGTCAATGAAAAGAACACAATAGAAGAATAAGATGCAAATTATTTATTTTGTATTCATCCTTTATAAGAAATCGGTTGGTGATAATGAATAACAACAAAACTTTCGCATAATTCATTTATACTCTCTTCATTAATGATTGTTTTTGAATTAACTACTCACTTGTGCCACGTTTTCTAAGTTATTTCACGAGTTTTGAATACAAATCTAAAACTAAGATGAAATATTTTCTCTATTATCTACATTTTGAATATGTTTAGCCAAAGTTTGTTGATTAATTGAATTTAAAATAGAATTTTCGTATCATTTTTAATTTGATAAAATTCATCGGTAATAGAATGAATATAGAGAAGAGAAAAGCGTTCCCACGTTGTTTGGTATTTTTCTCATGTTGATTTTTGTTTCCGCGAGAGTGATTCGAAGTCCTTGTACTTGTCATGATTATATTATCAGAATGATTTATCTTCTTAAGCTAAAATATTTTTACATATTTATCATGAGATGAGAGAAGATTCGTTAAAATGACAAATATTGTAAATATTTTCTTATTAATCACATTATCATTTCATCAATTTCAAGCAAATTTAAATAAACCTCATCATTTCCAGTATTTGACCATCTCGGTTTTAGTTTTCTTCGATCTCCGTACAGTCTAGCAGCATCCGATGGTGATCGAAATCTCTATCATTGTAGTGGTGCTGCACCTCAAGATGTGTTAACAGTGACATATCAAAGTTCACAAACACATAGTCTGGTATTATGTATGTGTCCAAATGCAGTCACAGGTGTAAGTTATGCTCTTTATTGACGAATCAGCGCATTCATTAGATCGTGGAAAATCAGCATCAAGAGAATGGGATGATGCTGTTGCGCTAGATACATGTGTACCAGACAACTATACAGGATCTAGTTATGCTGAATATTTCGCTCAAGTTGTTGCTGTTTCGATTTATTTAGTTGGTAAAGGTTTTGGTGGACAAGAATATGGTTGTATGAGAAATAAATTGCAGCTGATGTCACAATATTTACCTACTCAATCACTTCAACCATTTTTTGTTTCTCTGTCACTGAGATGAAATGAAAAATAAAAAAATGGGAGTAATTGGATTGTAATGATACGAATGCGAAGGAAAAAAAGACGATAGAAAATCAATAATTTTTTAAGTTTTTTTAATGTGAGGATGAATCCACTCTATCATCATCCAGATTTTGACCTTTTTCAAAGAATCTGATCAGTTCGACTTTATTTCGAACACTCTTGATCTCGAGTATCTTTTTTTTATCAGCTTTGTATTGATAAAATGAGAATAGATTATGACTAAGTAGTTATATCGAATCTGTTCGACATCTGATGTTCGATGAAAGTCATTATTCTCATTTTACTTTTGACTTGTTTAATGTGTTAAATATTGATTTAAATCTAATTATTTCTGACTGAATCAAAGTCATATCCATGATAGACTAAAAACAGGAATGATCAATTAGATATTTGAACTAAATTTACTATTAAATATGCGACTTTAATAAACTGAATTCACATATTTGAGTCATAGATGGTTTTTAACTTGGAAGACTATTAAACTCATATATGAATATTTTTAATTCGTTAATTGAGATAAATCGTATATATTTCTATTTTATTTCGCTTAATTATTATTTTCTTTTTGAGTTTAAACCTGTGATGAATGTTTTTATTATCACAGCTATCGAAACGCTTCGAAAACACATAAGAAGTTGAATAAACTGATTATAATGCACGAGTCAACTACGTAGTAGATCTATCTACACTTTCAGTTGTTATCAAATCTGTTTTCGACTATACACTTACTCATTCGATACTTCGATGCAAGACATGTCATATGCGATATCTTTAAGCAAATATCATAAAATTATTCATAGGATCTGTTTTCCATATATATGAAGTATTATAATCTCATGAAAATAATTGACATCAATGAATTTATATTGATAAATATGAAATGATGCGACCTCATACTGTTTGTTATATTATTCTATTATTATTGATAATTAATAAAACGAATGGAATTTCCAGTCGTCTTCAACCATACGCAATGTATCAATATTCAACTGAACTTGAGCTCAATAGAGCTGATCTTTGGTGGACAATAAATGAAAGTGAACAAGAAATAACTTTTGAATTGCATATAAAAACAAGAGGATGGATTGGTTTAGGTATTAGACCAGGTACATAGATATTTTGTCAAAATAAGTTTTTCTGTATCTTAAACTTGCCATGTTTTATCATATATAGGCGGTGGAATGAAAGGTGCCGACATTGGAATTGAATCCCTAGTTTTAATCCTGCTCATTTCTTGAGAAACCCTGGAAGAATCTTTCAGAATCCTTTTTCGAATCCTAGCAATTCCTGCTTGGAGGATTTTTTAAGGTGAGACAGAATCCTTTTCAGGATTACTTCAAGTTTCTGCTCAGATATTTTTCTGAATGGAGAATACAAGATTCTTTCAGAATTTACTCAAAGTCCTATCAAGAATCCATTTAAGATTATGAGAGAGGATTCTGCCAAGATTTTATTAGGCTCTCTTCAAGATATACATCAAATCTTCGTATCAGGATCCTATCAAGAATAAGAGACATATCGGACAAGGATCTTGACAAGATAACAACAGAATTAGTCAGAATATGAAACAGAGTAATCCTGTTAAGTTTTAACCAGGATCTTGATAAGATCTTTTTAAGATTATTCTTGTTCCAACATTATATTGCAATCTCAATCCTAATTAGAATCTTAATAGGAAAATGTAAGGATTTAGTAATAGGTCTTTACAGGTTACTATATAGTCCATCTATCCATCTCTATTTCTTGAGTGAATCTTGAAGAAATTTGGAGTACCGTAAATGTTAAGGATCCTGTCAGGTTCAATTCAGGATCTTCGCTACGATCTGTTCAAGTTCTTACTTAGATTTTTTCTGCATTAGTTTTGCAAGATCCTGCTAAGATCTAGAATTCGTTCTACTCAGAAATTTGACATAAATTATACTGACGATTTCTTCAAGATTTCATTAGGTTTTTAGATATATATATATAAATATATGGGACAAGAATAATCTTCACAGATAAGTTACAATAATTAATGTTGAAAATGAATTTTCTGATTGATCTTTTGTGAAAGATGTCAGCTCGAAAATAAATATCATAATACGTACGGTGAATGGAAGGCATATCAATTTGGTTTAGTGTTATTTTCTTCTAAACGCGACCATTGAAATTGTACTCTTACTGTTGAATCGATAGTTCGATATGAATGAAAAAATTGGTCAACATTAACTCACGACATTTATTTTCAATTTGATTAAATTTGGAAGGTATAGTGTTGATTGGCTTTTTTGTCAATCGTTAAGACAAAATAAATCTGTTAAATATTGATAAAGTGTTTAATTTGAAACACGAAGAATTTGTGTCATCAAAAATTGTTCAATCGTGATTTTCTGTATTTGATAATGAATTCGAGAGAAAATTTTCGAACAAATTGAGTATCGACTGATGAATTCTGATCAAATCGTTGATTAAGATCCACAAGTGAATAGAGAACACCAACCATGTTCAATCTATGAAAAATGATGAATAAGTATTAATGTTCTTCTATGGCAAAGGTACTAACAAATAAAATCTGTGTTGCTCGATAGAAAAGTTTTCATAATTCACTTTCGAAGTAGTCATCATAGAATATCTTATGGCCTTTTTCTTTCTGTCGTATATATTTTCTATTATAATTTCTTCATTTCTCTTATTCTTTTATTAAACAAAATTTGTCTGATAGTTTATATTAACTGAAAATTATTCTTTTCATATTTTTTCAAAGAATTCGAAATATTAGAGGGTTTCAAATAAATATTCCTAATAATCGTGGATTCTTCTTTCATTTTCTGAAATACAAGTCTTGATGAATTGTTCGATAGGGACTATCTCTATTACTATTGAGACAAGGAAATAATCTTTTCTTTCCTAATAACTGTTCACAGTTTATCTACATTGCAATTTTATTCTCATGAAGTTTTAAAATAAAATCTTATATAGAAATAGATGTCTTTTGATCATTAAATTGATGTACAGTATCACGTTGTAACGAATTCAAATATTCTTTTCACTTGAAACTGCTTCTCGTAGCATAAAAATTTTCGAGATAAATCAGATCTAAATATATTTTTTCGTATTTACAAATTTTCGAAATGAAGAACATATTTTCTTAAAATCCTCAATTCAAAATATTCACTATTGAAAAACATTAAAAACAACTGTTTATTTGAGACAAAAATAGAATTTAACACTTTTTTTAATGGTCGATTAAAATGTGAAAGAAAAATTTCTAAAATAAAGTTTTATATGACCAATATGTGCGTCTTTTAAAGAACACACTTGATCGAATATTTTCATTTTAATTATTTTTATAAGAAAAGAAGAACACCGATGTATAACTTGACATGTACTCAGTTAGATGAGACAAGAAGTAATTTATATATTTTGATAAGCGATGAATTATAGGAAAAAATTGTTAATATGATTATACGTAATGTATCTCTGTTACATTAGAATGCTCCATTTCGATGAGTTGTTCGCAAAAATATGCAATAGGAAGGAACAGGTTGATAGAGAATCTAGAAAATGTTTCTAAATTTGAACTGATTGCGTAATTTTGGTCAATATTAGCTCATAAACTGGACAGTTGATTTTGGAAGGCTATAACTCACAAACAACTGAAAAACATTGTCTATAATATATAACGGCGTTCTATCATATTTTCATCGTGGGCCTTTTTAGTTTTTCTAATTTATTAGTATCATTAACTGGCGTCATCTCTGTCAAAGTTAAGCATATATCTTCTGCCACGGTGAATTAGCCCAGAACGCCATCCATCAATTTTTTTAAAAATGGCCAGCAAGATATTTAGCAGAAATACTATACAAATTATGCTGATTCTAAATATATATATATCTTAATATATGATCCGATTATAAAAATATCATTATAGTGCATTTAGAAATAACCACTAAAAAATAAGCAGCTTCAATGCATCAGTCTGTGGATCATTAGGTTACGAGAAAGTTTATCTGCAAGGACTCCAATTGCAGTCATTGTCTGATTACGAGTCCTCCTTACTGGATAGTTGCTCAGGATACGTATGACGTACACTTAGAATACTTGACATGCGTTTGGTATGCGTGTCGATGTGTAGTGCATGTACCAAATGGGCATCTATCGTCATTGGTTATTATCATTCACTTGCATTTCTATCCAAATACGTAATTGCACAATCATTAGAAACTTATGTCACAAGACAGACGTAAACTCACTTAAGCGAAAAAAAACATTTCAACGACACATACTATATAACGAACATATACTTCAACGTAACACAAACCTCAACCAGTTTCATCGATGTGTGATAGAATTATTCCATCTATTCTTACATTACCAGTAGAACTTGTCTACCGAATTCTTGATCATCTCGACAACTTTAATATTTTATGCTCGATCAGAGGTGTTTGTACACGCATTAATACAATTGTCGACAGTTACCATCGGTATCAGGTAAACTTTTCCCTTATCTCAATGTTTCATTTTCATCATCTTCAAAACATTATTCATTTGCGCAATGTGTCGTCTCTTTGTCGTGTTTTCTTTTCTTAATTTCAAATTATTAGATAGAAAAAAAGAGATTTTATCCTTTGTTATGAATCATTTACTCTACTACTTCAAATGAGTAAGTGGCCTTCCGTCATCACCGTCTATTGAAATTGACGAAAGTCAACTACCAGCGAGAAAAAATTGCCTTACTATTCAATATCATTCGCTGAGATGCAGAAAACAATGCAATGGTCTATTTCATTTCACTCTGAATTTAGAACAAAAAAAAAAGGACATTCGATTACAAGCTGAAAGGAGGGACTTAGGAAATTATGAGTAAGGGAACTATTTTAAGGATGAGAAGATTTCGTGAGTTGCCGACTTTTAAAATGATATCATCAACTATATTGAATAGGCTTGCATTTTTTATAGGTAAGGCTCTCATGTCTCTTCACCCTCAAGGTAGTTCCCAAGTTCTCAAGTCTTCTCACCCTTAAGTAGCCTCCTAATTCCAAAATCTTCAAGTCCGCAAGTTCCCCGATCTTCTAACCTTCTATTCCTCAAGTCTTTCACCTTTAGATAGTGACCAAGTCCTTGATTGCCCTTATCCTCTGGATAGTCGCCATCTTCTCCAGCTTTCAGCATATAATGAAAGGAGGTAGATAGTATATATAAGATAATATAAGTTTAAAGATCTTGAAGACTTCCTCGGCACTCGGACAGTAAAAACGAATTCATATGCTGTGTGTTACTAGTTTTATTTATAGTAAGACGCCTTTGCCCTCATATAAACTCCGTTGAGTATAAAAAATAAAGCCGTAATTTTTTTTCAAAATTCAGTTTGAAATAAAAAAGAGCATAGGTTAGAGAAAACTTAAACAACCCAGAGAGAATAGTGAAGCAGAGCTGCATCTGAAAATCTATCAATGATCTACAAAAAAATTCTTAGTTAAGTGAAAAATCTTCAAGAGATGATAGCTATTTTTCAAGGATGATCGATTGTCACAGAAACGATCTATTTGATTTGTTTCTGCATTTCAAATAAAAATTTATTTACTTTTATTTTTTTCCTGGTATTCTATTTTTGTATCTGCCATGCTGCTATTCGCTCGTTATTTATTTTATTTCTCTCACTATTGATTTAATTTACAAGTAGCCTTGCTATACACATCTATTTAATTCCAAAGCAGGATTCAATGCGCTGTTATGCATTTTGATAAATTCAAAACACTGATATTGAATATTTCCTCAAGTTAGAACTTAATCAGTTGATGGTTGTTCTGTCGAACTTATGACTTCTTGTTAGTACCATAAGGCGACTTCTCTGTGGCTAAGGGGCTTAAAACTAGCACTCATTATTTTCTCTCAAAGAATACATGTGAGTTCCATAAAAAAAACAATGAAAAACTGCTCAAATCGAACATTTGTGACGAATTGTGTTTTGAAAACATTACTGTTATTTTTGACATGCAACGACATACAAGGAATGTTTTATCAATCTACTGAAGTTCAAATGGTTTCCACAGCTATCTCATCTTCTGAAGTAAACTGCAAATGAGTGTATAATTTCTCACTGATCGGTATTTTTCGTTTTGCTTCGCCATGAAT